TGTTTTTTTTTTTTTTGTTTTTTTTTTTTTGTTACCTTTTCCTTTTAGCCATCCTATTTGTAAAAAAAAAAAAAAAAACCTGCAGTATGACTTTTTATAATTGTTTATTGTTGTTGCTGTTTTCCTTTGTTGTCATCTTTCTTTGTTGAAATCAGGTCTCTCTTGTAAATGAGTCCTCGAGGCTCAATGGGATTTACCTGTCTAAATAAAGGTTGATTGATTTGTCTTTCCACAAAAAAGAAGTTGTCCAGATGACCTGCCTGACCATTATTGGAGTTTGTACCTGGATGTTTGAGCATGAATGTCGATATAGGCTCATTTGTTTTTGTAATTGTCTTAAAGTTAATGATGCATGTATGGCATCATTTTACTAATGTCGGCAATGCATTCTGGGTAAATGATATAGACTAGTTGCTCTGGTACAAAAATGCTCTATTCAGCTTGAATGTTAATTTTGGACATTATCTGACATTCAATCCTTTAATTTGATCCATAGCAAGTTGTTAAAGAGGAGGCTGGAAAAATAACTAATAAATAATAACATTAATCGTGTTAGATCCAGAGATAATATTTTTGCTTCAGAGCTAATAAACAAAAATAATAAAGTTTGATTGTTTTGAACCATATTTTGTGCATAAGGACCAATAAAAGATATAACTTTAGTATCAAGTTATAACTTTTTACTCTTGCCTTCTTGTGTTTTTATGTCCACTACAACCTCTGTACGTCATTGCCCCAGAATGCATTGTGCCGGTAAGAAAACTGTGACGTCCTTAAGTGAAAATTGTAATAAACTTATATTTTCATTAAGTATTTAAGAGTTTTCATGTGTCCCAAACAACAACTTTTAGTAGAATAGAAAAATAACATAATAAGGCCAATATGTGCAGGTAGTCAGAGATCCCTTCAAGACAAATAATCTGAAAGACTTTTATCCATCTTTTATTTTTTTTATACCATGCTTGAAGTTTGATTTATTGACTAGTTTAAACAAATAAACAATAAAATATACAATATTTGTGGTTTTAGTAGTCCACCTGTAATTTTTCTGTGTCTAGACTTAAATTACTTGCAGAGGGACCCCCTTGTTTCTGTCAGAGCCACTCCTTGTCATCAACATCTAGTTTCATGAAACCATTCAAGTGAAATATCCTGATGCATGCTCAATAATCCAGGTAGAAAAATCCAAAAAAGTTCAATCTGGTCCTCTGGACATTCAAAAAAACAAAACAAAGCAAAAAAATATATATAAACGTTTCGTCTCTCATCCGAGAGATTTCCTCAGTCTGAGGTGCTGAATTCAGCTGAATACAGACTGAGGAAGTCTCTCGGATGAGAGACGAAACGTTTCGATATTTTTTTGCTTTGTTTTGTTTTTTGTTTTATTGAATGTCCAGAGGACCAGATTGAACTTTTTTTGGAATCAAGTGAAAGCGCTGAACCTGAAGCTTTACATCCTTGAAATCAGTGAGACAGAAGAAGTTAATTTATGAGTGAGTTTTGTTTTCTGAGGAGTGTTTTTTTAATGGGTTTCGGCAGCTGACTAATGTTTGACCAGTAAAATGTTCTATTTAGGCAGTGAAGTGAAGGAAAACGATCACTCTGGGGGCATTACTGTTAAAAACTATACATATTAACCATTAAAAACCAATGCATACACATCCAAGCCCAACATGTGGGTGAAAATCTGTTTCTTTAGAGGTGAAAGTTCAAAAACAGATTCCTGGAAAAATGCCTGAAGTGAGTTTTGTTCTTATCTGCCAGATACGTGAAAAAGAAGCAACTGAGGGAACAAACATTTACATGAAATCTTTAATGTTGTTTCATTAAGTCAAGGGCAATTATTTACATTATTATGAGTTTCGCTCACACCTTAATATAACCATAACAGTTGAACAATTTGAATCTGTACATGTTAAATCTAACCATTAGTCACTTGTTAGGCACGGTCCAGGTCAGATCCATGACTAATGACTTGCTGCTTTCAGAGGGGAGCGAGTCCTCTTTTTGCTTGAAGGTGGTGAGGATGGAGGGGAGGCAGAGGAGGGGAGTGACTCTGGCGAAACCGAACGCCACCTGGTGGGACTGCTGCTGGGGGAGCCGCGGGGGGAGGAGTAGGGGGACAAGGCCTGAAGCATCCGGCCGCTGCGCTCCTGGATGGTGTGCTGAAAAAGAAAAGAGTAGAGATAAACTTAGCTGTGGCATGGGGGTTGTTGCAGCGCTACATTTAATTTACAGAACATGAAAGCATGTTTGTGGCTTTAAAGTAATTGAGCTAGACATGGATTACAGATTATTTTCATTCTTAATTGGCAGGACTGATAAATTCTATTTCCACTTGTCGTTGATAATCCATAAAATGGGATATTATTGCACGGACAAGATTAGAAACTATTGCAAGCTGCTTTTTTTTTTTATCTACAACCAAATTGTGGTCTAACTTGTGCTGAAATATTTTAAGTTGTGTTGTCTGTCATTGGCAATGGAACAATAAAGCAATAAATGAACATGGATAAGCCGAATCGAGTTGCATCACCCTTGATATCATTTTTCCTAATTGTGCCTGAGGCCCAATAAAAGTTGTTTTAATGCTGCAACAACAGAGCCGGGATCAGTGTTTCACTTTCACACGTTTTCTCTTTAATCTGGTGACGTGGAACACAAAAGTAAACGTGCCCATGCTCCGTCCGGTCCAAAGAGCTCAAGGAAGTTGCCGATGAACTCCCGCGACTTCTCCTCCCACTTAAGAATGAGGTCCTGGCTCTTCTCCTCCACCCTGTTGACGAAGTGTTTGGACTTTTCCTCCACGGTTCGAACCGTCTCCTTCATCTTGTCCACCTGGTTCTGAAGCCGATACTTGTTCTCCTGCCAGGAGAGGGAACAGTAACTTGTAGGAATGTGTTTTTTCCCTCTTGCGTTAAATGTGAGTTATTTACTCACCTTGATGAACCCAACGTTCAGCTCTCGAGCCGTGTAGCCTCTCTGCAGGTTGCGACGAACGTAGATGTCGTAGTCTCGGACGATTCGAGTTATCAGATCTGATGTGGAGATTCCCTCCGTCCTCTGAGTGGCAACAAACATCCCTGATAATAAAACACCAATTCTGTGATGATTTCCAGTGAAAAGCAACACCACAGAGCTTGAGAACATTCCGGAAGGTCTAAATGAATCTCCACCTGCTTCCTTGATGTGCTTATAAACGTCCTCTGATCCAGCAGACGTGTAAGGGATGTCGTCATGGGCCACAAAATCAATCTGTTAAAGGAACGCGAGAGAGTCGGGAGCGATTAGACACTACTTTTGTCGTTTTCGCTGTGTGACACTGTAGCAAGCTGCCGTTTCCGTCACAGTGTGACCTTTGACCTTGTGTTTCTTGAGGAACTCTGGGGTAAGTGTCCAGGGCGCGTCTCGCACCACCTCGTCAATGTAACGGCAGTGCCGCAGCGCTTCGTAGCGTTCATCCTCCGTCATCACCGTGTAGCCCTTAAACTTGTGGGTGAGTTCATCGCTGCACACTAAAACAACAAAATATAGAAATAAATGACATTTTGGCCGTGTCTTGTTGTCATGTCGTGCTTTAATCTATACTAACTGAGAGCAGCAGCTCCTGAGCAAAAATATTAGTGGGTTGAACATCAACTTCCTGAATCATTGACACAAATCTGACAAATTGCGTTACATTTTCTGTGATTAAAAAATAGGATATATGTTACTTAATATTTAATTTACTATTGTTATTTTGTTTTTTGTTTGTTTTTGGACTTGCGACCCGTCCAGGGTATACCCCGCCCCTCGCACAGTGATTGCTGGACATGGGCACCGGCGACCCCCATGACCCAAAATGTAAGAAGCGAGTAAAAGATAATGGATGGATGGATGGATGGATGTTTGTTTTTGTGTACAAACTTGTCGCCATTTGTGCGTCAACAGCACAATTCCGTCTAATAGATCAGAGAAATGGACACCTACGCCCACATCCACCTGAAATGGGTATACATCGAGAACATTGCAAGAGTGTGGGAAGTGTTTATAAAGCCTTAAAATATAAATGAATACTAAAATAAATATAATGTCTCTACTTTGCAGATTTTCACCTATCGCAGGAGTGTCTTGAACATAACCTCCACAATAAGTGAGTCTGCTGTAATTTGTCTACTTCAGTGCATGACTGGCTACATGACTCGGGAAGGAGGTTGAGGAGCATTAAGTGTAGAACCACTAGACTAAGGAACAGCTTCTACCATGAAGCTGTTGGATTCATGAGTCAGGATTATCACTGTGAAAAAAAAAAATCACTGTATGCCACTTGATTGTTGATATGTGCTGCTGACTATCCATGCTGCTGATCTTATGCTGCTGATTTATTTATTCATGCTGCTGTGTTCATTCATTCGTACTCATCTGCTCACACAGACTCATGTTCGTGCTGCTGTTGTTTGGTGTTATTATTTTTGTATCATTAGTGTATTCTTAGTCTAACGTATTTCTTAGTTCATGTCTTAGATCTTATTTCTGTTTTTCTTTACAATTTATACTTTCGTTGGATGTAACTGGGACCCTGTGTACACAGTGTCGATGTGGTGGAACGACAAATAAAGAAACTTTGACATTGACTAAATTAATTAGCACAATTCTTGACTGTCTGACTCATGAGAGAGGTGGCAGATTACTGAACACTTGCACTAAAAATAGTTTTGGATCTGTAAAAGTTTTTTCACTTTTGTGAAAAAAATTAAAATAAAACAGTAAAAGTGAATAAATTATATAATAAATATATCATCACTACCGTAATTCAAATAGATGTTCAACCAGGGATCAAGCCCAGAGTCTTTTGATCATATGACCAATGCTTCAACCACTGACCATCACATCCGCACACTCTCTCTTTTTCCTCACTCCCACCCCCACCCACCCACACACACAAACACACACTCCACAGAACTGGTCAAATAAGATACTACCATATTGGTAAATGTGTCCCGCTTTTTGTCTATCCTCCTCAGTTTTCTGTTCAGGTCTCTTCTGTTCACTTCAGATGGATTTAAAAACAGAATATCTCCACTGTTGGACTCAGCAGGTTTCACTGTAGCTCTGAGTTCACATCAGGTCAAGAAAATGTGTCCGAAAGGCAGGAAATCTGATGCCCCAAATGAGACTCTATTGGAGTTGGCCATTTGGATCACTAGCAACAAGTTCTGATCCGTTTGATGGACGTGGGTCACTGAAAGGTACAACTCCATAACAGTAACAAAGTAAAAACTGAGAATGAATCATTAAAAATCATTTAAAATTCAATTTAAATGGCCAAAATAGTTGGAAAAACACACACAACAAAGCAATACACAGAAAGCTCAGTAAAAAAAAAAATATTTGCATTATTTATTGGGGGGGAGCTACTTTGTGGGGTGAATGAATATTTTGTATTTGCATTTTGATGCCGCCTTTGGGTAAGGGACCATCAATGAAAACGAGTCCTCTTCTAACATGGGTTAACTTCATTTTATATTTGACTTGTTTAAATGTTGACCAAATTTACATGGTCTCTTTTCAAATAAGTAAATTGTTAACTTTCATCAACAGATTTAGTTTCAGTTAGTTCTATGAGGCTTTAACAAAAAGTGCACTACTACAGTTACATGCGACTGATGCTGTAACAGTCTGTTGGCCAGTTATAGGGGACAGTTCCATGTCTCTAACGCACAATCGCTGGATCCAAAAACATAACATGGCAGCACCCACAAAATAAATAACGGACATTCTGGCTTCAGTTCTGAACAACGGGAGAAGGCAGAGACATTTCATCTAACTTTATTGATGTTGATGAGTTGAATTTGAAGTTCTTTCAGGATAGATGAGATAATGGCTAGTCTGAGTAACCAAAGGGATTTGCTGCCATTTAAAAACAAGTCAAAAGTTTTAACGACTTTCTCCCAAACACGCCTTTATAAACCTGTGCATCGCTACCAGTTTTGCAGAATGTTGCTGTGTAATTCTATGTTTTTTAGCAAATGCAAATAGCAGCTAGTTCTAGCTGCTTTTGATGTATCCTGGTGCACATCTGGAGGGAAAATTACTGTATAATATAACTGTCAGAATAACTATGTAATGCAAAACTGACCTCAATGTCAAAATTTCTAGCATTAAATTAGCATTTACATGAAAATGCTTATGGCAGCACGGTGGCGCAACTGGTAGAGCTGCTGCCTCTCAGCGAGCAGGTCCCTGGTTCAAACCCCGGTCCAGGGGCCTTTCTGGGTGGAGTTTGCATGTTCTCTCCGTGCATGCGTGGGTTTTCTCCGGGTGCTCCGGTTTCCTCCCACAGACCAAAAACATGCATGTTAGGCTGATTGGTAACTCTAAATTGTCCCTAGGTGTGAGTGAGAGAGTGAATGGTTGTTTGTCTCGTATGTCTCTATGTATCCCTGTGATGGACTTGCGACCCGTCCAGGGTGTACCCCGCCCCTCGCACAGTGATTGCTGGACATGGGCACCAGCGACCCCCGTGACCCAAAATGGAATAAGTGGGTAAAGATAATGGATGGATGGATGGATGAAAATGCTTTGGAGTTTCTAACATTAGATTGGTTTTAAGATGGCAGAAATCCACTTTGGTATTGGCTTCATTTGGATTAGCTGTTTGCTTGTCAATCTGGTCAGGATTATAAACTCATTTTCTTCCAAATGAAGTCACTTAAAGAGCCATATACAACAAGTAAGATGTTCTTTGTTCATAAACTTTTCTCAGACACCCACTTTAACATAAATATTGGTTGGAACTGGTCCAGTTCAGACTAATTGACAGCTCTACTCGTTTGAGAGAACTTCTGCCTGATATTCTGAAGTGAGCAATGTCTGCTGCAAGATGCTGAGTCTGTTTACCCCACAGAGTACCACTAAAAAAAAATCTGAACTATCCTTTTAATGAAATTTAATTAAATTAAATCCAAGAGTTTACATTTTTAATTTAAATGGCCTGACTGAAGTAATAAAAAATAGCTGGTGTACCATGGTACATTTCATGCACACAAACCCCCTCTGACTTTGTTAGACGGGGGTGTTGGATTTATACTTTACCTCCTACTATCAGGTAAGTGTTGGGGAACACATTCTTGGCCTGCATCAGAGCCCGAGCATGTCCCGAATGGAAAAGATCAAAGATCCCATCGGCATAGACTCGCACTGGACGGTGAGCTACAAATAAACAATAAGTGAGCTTTAAGTCTCCTGATCACTCATACGATGTGGCACATTCCTGTAGACAAACATCATGATGACATTAAGGTTTTTATCAGCTGTGACACAAAACTGATATCAAAATGCCTTTTTATGGCTCATATCAGCTGAAACCAGCTGACTCATTCAATCTGAGTTACTCGTCTTTCATTCTCTGCTTCCAGTTCCCGGCGCCATCAGGATCTGGAGAGAGATTTGCAGTATTATGGTAAATAAACGTTATGCCAATGTCCCCCGTTGCTGAGGGATTTGAACAGTGAATGATTGTAGTTTTTTTGTTTTGTTTTTGTTTTGTTTTTCTGGAATGGAACTGAACTGGAACTGAAGTGGCATATTTTGCATGTTTTAGTGGCATGTTTTGGGGGGTGGTCAAGCACCCCTAAATTTTAACTCCACACCCCTGGAAACATTAAGAAGTCATTATTAGGATTTTGTAAGGAAACTCATTTCTCCAACATTAGATTTGTCAAAATATTTAATAAATTTGGAATAAATATGGAATAAATTATGACACTTAAATGGGCCATAAAAAAAAAAATATTATATATATATATATATATATATATATATATATATATATATATATATACATATTTTGCATGCGTTGGATCCTTGAAGCCACCTGTCATTAAGTCAAGTAGGCAACTGACCAATCGGTGACCTCAATTTGTCCCGAAGTTAAACGCCCCTTACTTGCAGGAGTTGGGGGGTTGGGTGTGTGTGTTAGGATGTGTGAGAGAAGCATAGCACCATGTCTCTAGCATCTTAGCTAGCATATATGTGCCTCAATGCAGTTGTGGACTGCGTAGGGTCGGGTTGTGAGAGAGAAGTGGAGCATGCTCTATTCACACAAGGAGAGCTGTTGGTCAGGTTACTTCTTGTTGCTCTCTAAAATAGTTATTGAATCAAGTGTTTACTTATGTAGGTAAATATAGATGTTTAACAACCCATTAAAATACACCAGAATGCAAGAAATGGCATCTACTTTATTCAAAATTTTATGGGGCAGGACTCCCAGATCCCCCATATTACAAATTCTTCTGACACCAATGGCCACCGCGTTGTTGAAGCCAAGAGACGTTTTCAGCATTGGGAGCTAAACACCCCTAAAGGTCATATTCTAGGATCACCCCTGCAGGGAATAAGTAAGTAAATCTTAATGTTTTTGGTGCAAGATATTTAAGTGGAGAGGAGTTGTACTGTGGAGAAAACAGTAGTGTTGTAGTACTCGAAACCGGTCTGATGGTCTCGGTCTTGACTCGGACTCGACCGCATTTGGTCTCGGCCTCAGTCACTGAGGACTCAGGATTTTATTTCAAGACCAGTCAAGACCACAACTGTGGAAATATCACTAAACTGCCAGAATATTGTCCAGTTTATTTGTTAACTTCCTTGTTTTTATTGAACACATTTTGGTACTGGTTCAAATCCAAGCGATAATGTGACTCATTGCTAAATCCATTTTTTGTTACCACTGTCACGCCCACCCTCTTTCACTCGCACGTGTCACTCCCAGTGTTGCCAGATTGGATGATTTACTGCTAATTGGGTGGTTTTCATTCTGATTTTGCTGGGAACTCTGGGAAGATTTTTGTTTTGCCATATATTGTTCATATTGTTAAATTGCCTTGGCTTGTACTGATGTGGGTTCATGTTCAAACAGTAAATATACTGTAACAATATATTGCTTGGGTGGATTTTTGTGTGATGTGGAGGTTTTGAACAGATTTTTGAGCTGGAAAATTTCGACTCTATCTGGCAACACTGGTCACTCCAAGAAAGTGAGAAGTGATTGTCTGGGCACGGAAGACGTCTGCCAAAACATCAGTTATAAAATTTGGCTATTTAAATCACAAAGAATATACTTGTAACTAAAATCCATTTATGTAACTTTTTAGGTGTATATCTACTATTTTATTGAAACCACTGTGCAACTATATGGTTATCCTTGGTCTTGTGTTCAGACTTATGAAGAGTGTTTTGCCACTTCAATTTTTTTAAGGCTTGACATGTGATGAAATCGCTTCCAATTTAACAATTGTGTCATTTTATTGTTGAATCTCATGAAGTTAGGCCACTGAATGTCTGAATTATTTGTTATGTAGCTTTGAAAATTTATAAAAGCTGATATAATCATTCAAAAGCAAACTTAAAGTTGCAGTATGTAACTACTATAAAGATATTTTATAATGAAAATTTTCATTTTATTTATTTTATTTGAGGTCTCAGTCTCGACTTGGTCTCAGACCCTAAAAGTCTTGGTCTTGTCTCGGTCTCGGTACACTCTGGTCTTGGTCTTGACTTGGTCTCGGGTTAGGTGGTCTTGAGCACAACACTAAAGAACAGAGAGAGGCTTTATATTTTGTTTGTTTGCTTGTCTGATGCAGCACAGAGTGACTGATCCTGGAGAGTGGGGGGGAGAAATTTTATCTAACACCAGGTGCAATGGGGGACCCAAGGGGTGGCTAATACTGGCCTTGGTCCCCATAGAATAATCTCTAGCCACCCCAAGTGCCACCCTAATTATCTGAGGAAACTATACTTTTAAGCAAAATAAAAACTACAAATCATATTCTTCTCAGATGATTGGGGTGTTTGGATTACACATACAGGTCCTTCTAAAAAAATTAGCATATTGTGATAAAGGTCATTATTTTCCATAATGTAATGATAAAAATGAAACTTTCATATATTTCAGATTCATTGCACACCAATTGAAATATTTCAGGTATTTAATTGTTTTAATACTGATGATTATGGCATACAGCTCATGAAAACCCAAAATGCCTGTCCCAAAAAATTAGCATATCATGAAAAGGTTCTCTAAACAAGCTATTAACCTAACCATCTGCATCAACGACGTAACTCTAAACACCTGCAAAAGATTCCTGAGGCTTTTAAAAACTCACAGCTTGTTCATTACTCAAAACCGCAATCATGGGTAAGACTGCCGACCTGACTGCTGTCCAGAAGGCCACCATTGACACCCTCAAGCAAGAGGGTAAGACACAGAAAGAAATTGCTGAACGAATAGGCTGTTCCCAGAGTGCTGTATCAAGACGCCTCAGTTGGAAGTCTGTGGGAAGGGAAAAGTGTGGCAGAAAACGCTGCACAACGAGAAGAGGTGACCGGACCCTGAGGAGGATTGTGGAGAAGGGCCGATTCTAGACCTTGGGGGACCTGCGGAAGCAGTGGACTGAGTCTTAAGTAGAAACATCCAGAGCCACCGTGCACAGGCGTGTGCAGGAAATGGGCTACAGGTGCCGCATTCCCCAGGTCAAGCCACTTTTGAACCAGAAACAGCGGCAGAAGCGCCTAACCTGGGCTACAGAGAAGCAGCACTGGACTGTTGCTCAGTGGTCCAAAGTACTCTTTTCGGATGAAAGCAAATTTTGCATGTCATTCGGAAATCAAGGTGCCAGAGTCTGGAGGAAGACTGGGGGGAAGGAAATGCCAGAAGTCCAGTGTGAAGCACCCACAGTCAGTGATGGTCTGGGGTGCCATGTCAGCTGCTGGTGTTGGTCCACTGTGTTTTATCAAGGGCAGGGTCAATGCAACTAGCTATCTGGAGATTTTGGAGCACTTCATGCTTCCATCTGCTGAAAAGCTTTATGGAGATGAAGATTTAATGTTTCAGCACGACCTGGCACCTGCTCACAGTGCCAAAACCACTGGTAAATGGTTTACTGACCATAGTATTACTGTGCTCAATTGGCCTGCCAACTCTCCTGACCTGAACCCCATAGAGAACCTGTGGGATATTGTGAAGAGAAAGTTGAGAGACGCAAGACCCAACACTCTGGATGAGCTTAAGGCCGCTATCAAAGCATCCTGGGACTCCATAACACCTCAGCAGTGCCACAAGCTGATTGCCTCCATGCCACGCTGCATTGAAGCAGTCATTCATGCAAAAGGATTCCCGACCAAGTATTGAGTGCATAACTGAACATGATTATTTGAAGGTTGGCGTTTTTTGTATTAAAAACACTTGTCTTTCATTGGTGGGATGAAATATGCTAATTTTTTGGGACAGGCATTTTGGGTTTTCATGAGCTGTATGCCATAATCATCAGTATTAAAACAATTAAAGACCTGAAATATTTCAGTTGGTGTGCAATGAATCTGAAATATATGAAAGTTTCATTTTTATCATTACATTATGGAAAATAATGACCTTTATCACAATATGCTAATTTTTTGAGAAGGACCTGTATATACGATGATGGCCATCTTGGATTTTAACTTGGCAAGTAAATTTTTGATGGTGACCTTTCACACATAACATTCTTATGCCTACATACACACCAAAATGGAAGTTGGCACCTCGCTTATTTTTCAAGTTATCATGCTCGCACAACATGCACGGATGGACAGAGGGTATTTTCAATTCTCTTCTTCACTCCACAGCAGGGGACAACAAATGTACTGAAAAGACTAACCTGGTGTTCCTTTTCTTGCTTGAGTAATAGTCAGTTTTTCATGGGGGTCCACTGACTCCCAATCTGTTGGCTTGGCAAAGGGGGCTGGCTCCCGTAGAGCCTAAAAGAAGATGGAGAGAGACAGACTATATGATTATAATGAGTCCTCGAGGCTCAATGGGATTTACCCGTCTAAATAAAGGTTGAATGAAAAAATGAATAATGAAAGCAGGTGAAGTGTTGTTAGTTTAAAGACTTAGCATGTCCATGACAGGAAAATATATAACATGCATGCTGACAGTTGACTGCTTCACTCCTGAGGTTACTCATAACATCTCCAGGTTGAATAACCTGCTTGTGTTTGGAGTGTGGGAAGAAGGAGGTGTAATTATTGGCAGTGATGTAATTGATCAGAGTTATAATAGGAGGAAATTGTGCAGGAAAATAGCTGCTGATGCAGAGCTGCAATTTGAATTGATCCAGGATTAGTCGGACTCAAACTGCAACTAAAACATGAGGTATTACAAACTCACAGACTCAGAGTTATTAAAGGAGCACTTTTATCTAAATATAATAAACATTTATAACATCATCAGGGCACAGGTGGATAATTTCATGTCTTAGTCAGTGAGCACCTATGTTCTGCAAGGCCTGGACTTTGTGTTGTGAGCTGACGGATGGTCACCTTTATCTGCTGTGTTAGATATACCTTGAATGTGTGCTCCGCTTCAAATGTCTTGTTACTAAGTCAATAAAAACATAAGCTTGCATGGTTCAGCATTGCACATGTGTTATCTGACTTGCATTGCATCATGGTATAGTTCACACTAAATGACACGCTGGTACAGATAAGATGGCTGTTTATTACATTTATTTAAACTAGTTATTTATTCCAAATATTTGCTTCAGACCAGTTTCAACTGATCACCAGATGAGAATTTAACTAACTACAAAGAAAATGTCGTCTTTCCAGCCTGTGTTGCAACTAAGTTACCCTGGTTCTGCTTAAAATCGGGCCTACCTTGCGAGGGTCTCCTCCTCTCCGGTTCTGCGGGTTCTGCTGTTTTTGCCCATTACTGCTTCGGCCTCGTCTCCTCCTGGCCATCCTGGATGTTGGCCTGTCGTTCGTCTCTACCGAGCAGCTGGTTTCTGAGCCTGCGTGCCTTTTTAAGTTTTCATCCCCTCAGCCTGCCTGACCCTGATGACGGGAGAGCGTGGAGAGCAAAGTTCACAGCACTCCAGTGGAGTCATTCAGAAAAGTCCAATGTGTTTGAAGTCAATACTGATCGTTACTTCTTTGAGAGGAGGGATTTGTGTGTTTGTAGAGTGCTACTCATCACAGACAAACCATTTAACAGTGTTGAACACAAATATATATGTAAGTAAAATGTTGTTTTGAATAATCTCTTAATTTATTTGACTGATTGTCAGAAAGAACAAAGGCTCTTAACAATGTAACAGTGAGAGCACATGAAAGCACAGACACACCGTGTCTGCCTACCATTCTGTGTTCGTTTGTCTCTCTTTTCTGTCCTCTCAAACCTAGCAGGTCAAAGCAGATGGCCGCTTGTCCTGAGCCTTGTTCTGCTGGAGGTTTCTTCCTTTTAAAAAGGGAGGTTATCCTTTCCACTGTTGCCACTGTGCTTGCTCAGGATGGAAGACTGCAACGAAGTGAAAATTCAACGAGTCTGCTGGATTCCTTACATAGAGAACTTTACTGACTGGCTTTTCTATGTATGTGAATGTTCCTGTAAAGTGCCCTGAGACAACTTTGTTCTGATTTGGCGCTATATAAATAAACTGAATTGATTTGAATTGAGGGCAGCCCGGTGGCGCAACTGGTAGAGCTGCTGCCTCTCAGCGAGCAGGTGTCCCTGGTTCAAACCACGGTCCAGGGGCCTTTCTGGGTGGAGTTTGCATGTTCTCTCCGTGCATGCGTGGGTTTTCTCCGGGTACTCCGGTTTCCTCCCACAGACCAAAAACATGCATGTTAGGCTGATTGGTAACTCTAAATTGTCCCTAGGTGTGAGTGAGAGAGTGAATGGTTGTTTGTCTCGTTTGTCTCTATGTGGCCCTGTGATGGATTTGCGACCCGTCCAGGGTGTACCCCGCCCCTCACACAGTGATTGCTGGACATGGGCACCGGCCACCCCCGTGACCCAAAATGGAACAAGCGGGTAAAGAAAATGGATGGATGGATTTGAATTGAGTTATATCTCAGCTGGTCTGGGAGCAGCTTGGAGTCCTTCCAGAAGAGCAGGAAGAGGTGGATGTGGAAAGATGTCTGGAGCTCCCTGCTCAAACTGCTGCCCCCTGCAACCCAACTCTGGAACAAGCCAAAAATAATGGATGGATGGATGGATGGATGGATGGAGCCATCTTAGATTGTGATGTGGCAAAGCAATTTTTGAAAGGGTCTTTTCTTATGCCTAGATGCACCCACATACCAAAATAGAAGTCGGTGCCTCACTTATCCTTCAAGTGATCATGCTCACAACATGGACGGATTCACCAATGAACGGAGGGGATGTTTTGATTCCCCCTCTTCGCTCCATGACAAGGGACAAGAATCCTTGTATATTTTCTGTCATGTGAAATATGACGTTGGTGAAGATTAAAACATGATTTCACAGCTGTTCTTCAGAAACAATAATATCTCTATTATTCTGATGTCAGTTGGAGAAACTGAGTTGACTTTGACTTGACTGATAAACTCAGTTCGAGCAAAGTGGATTGCAGTCAATCAACTCCAGTCTCGTAGCTGTTTATATAAAAGTTGTATTGTAAACAGAGAGTTCACATTAGCTCTTCCTGAAAACAGTAATTCAATATTTCTGCTGAAATGACCTCAGAGAAATGCTACAACTACAGGGGTTACTATTTGTGTCTGCAAGTAACGATATAATTTGATGTAAATAAGCAACTCTCAGGATCTGTGCTTTTAGTTGGCTTGTTCATAGCCTTTTTGTGTTTGATTAGATTTGTTTGTGGTTGTGATTATAGCAGGAGGGCACCCTCAGGACCTTTAACGTCTTCACAGAAGGTCTAGCACATATGAAACATTTAAAAATTAATTTTATATAAATAAATATTTTGAATGTCACCTAAGTTCATGCTCAATAATCCAGGTATAAAATCAAACAATGTTCAGTCTGGTCATCTGAACGGTTTCTTCTTTTGCTGAGACATTTTGTCTTCAATCTGAGAAGCCACCAAACAAACTGAGTTCCACAAACGGCATACTCCAGAGTGGAAAAAAAAAACAGTTTGCTGGTGCTAAGATGGCCACTGGGGCCCACCCTCTCCCCCGTCAACTTCTCTGAGACAGTCATGCCAAAGTGGTTCAAAACACGAACGTTCATGCTCAATAATCCAGGTATAAAATCGTTGGTTACGTACTGTAACCCCAGATTCTATGATTATAGGCGTTGCCCTTTAAGAGCTGTCGCTGGTGGGTTTTATCCCGTCATGCAACGCATCGCACTGAAAAGTTTAGTCCACGCCCACCTGTTGTGTGGGCCCCACCCGGTCCGTATAAATTACGTTAAGAGCAGGTAATCGGCTCCCAAATAGCTTTTTCTTCCGCCATTTAGGAGCCAGTGAGGCCCGACGCTTAATGCCTATACTCATAGAATCTGGGGTTACAGTACGTAACCAACGTTCTATTTCGTATAGTCTTCGCCCTTTAAGAGCTGTCGCTGGTGGGTTAAGGGCGAAGTAGATGTAGTCCTCGCCTCACTGGGTCCATTCGAACACCATATGAAGCGCCAGCTTGCCCAAAAAAATGTCTTGTCACTCAGCTCTCCATGTGCGTAATTGCGCGTTGCGTAATTACACGTACCATGCACAAACGCGTGCTGCGTGTTCTGATTGCATGAACGCCTCGGAAAAGTTTTCAACAGGGAAAGAAGGAGAGGCTGAAAGAAGGCCATGAACCAAGCAGATCCACGTCTGATCAATATGAACAGATTAATAATAACAAGTGAACTGATTATTAATCAAATGAACTGATTGACAACAATAGTCATGAACTGATTAGTGACACTAGAACAAGAACAACAGTCACAACCTGTGACTGATAACAACATCTCACACTGTAAATGCATGCAGTCAGATGTGAGTTTAAACGAGATTCCATGAAACAACAATATTCATTCTGTTAAATCACTAAGGACAGAATGCGTCATGGAACGAGTCGACATATCACGTAAATAAAAGCGAATAAATGAACAGGGTGTTGACCACGCGGCCGCAGTGCAAATATCCTGCATTGTCATACCATTATGCAAAGCAGTCTAAGATGCAATACCCCTGGTCAAGTGCACCATACGTTGTCAGGAGGCTCTAAATCTGATGCTCTGCAGGCTTCAGAAATGGCCTCACACAGCCAGTGTGACAGGCGCTGGGTGGATAACGGGCGACTTACAGATGCATCTCTAAAATGCACAAACAAATGTTGACTCTGACGCATTGCGGCCGTGCGTGCTATGTAGCATGTCAACGCACACACAGGACAGAGATGATGGAAAGATGCTTCTTCTTCTGATTTGTGTGGGGGAGGGAAAAAAAACCTCCAATGATATTGCTCTTGATTTAAAAGAGCTTGTGATGTTTTTAGGCATAAACGCTGGGTTAGGTCTCAGATCAGCTGAGCTGCCGTCAGCCTGAATTCTGAGACATGACTGAGCGACAGAGAGGGCAGATAAATCCCTCACCCTCTTACCGGATGTTAAAGCCAGCAGCACGGCTGTTTTAAGAGACAAGAATTTAATTGGAACCTGATTCAGTGGCTCAAATGGAGTTTTGATCAGGGCTCACAGGACCAGCGTTAAATCCCACTGTGGAGCAAGTGGGCGAGAAACAAGTCAGTGTCTCTGTACACCTTTTAAAAAATGCTTCATCAGCGGATGATTAAAAGCTGTTCTGTCCCCGAAACCTTTGTGACAGGAAGAGATGGCTGCAGCGTACGTTTTAATTGTGCTGAATGCCAGATTTCTGTCCATCAGCTGCTGCAGAAAGGATAGCACGCCACCTAGTGGACATGAGGTAGCCTCTACACCTTTGTCTGTACACCAGAGCTGAAAAGCTGTTCACTTTGATGTGTACAGCGCTGTGGTGGATGCAGCGCATGAATCCTGGATTGTACGCACTACATCTTGAGAGAGACCCATCCTCTCTAAGCGGATCCGCTCTGCGGCCAGACCCAAAGGTGCTGGCCTATTTCTGGGTAACTCCTGATCGCTCCTCCCGCCTGGAGGAGAGCATCCTCCCTCCACGGCAGTTTCCATGGGCGCCCCAATAACAGGCGTCATAGAATTAGGAACCATAGTGCGTTCACGTGCTCGGGAGCCACCAGGAGAGCTGTCAATCCCTCCTCCTGAACTCGGTTCAGAAACCGTAATATAAGAGGGAGTGGGGGGAACACATAAAGAAGCATTTTGGGCCACGGGCTGTGAGCAAACGCGTCCACCCCTAGCAGTGGTTCGTCCGGCGGGCTCAGTGAAAACCATAGTTGACAATGAAAATTTTCTCGTGTTGCAAACAGGTCCACAGCAGCTTTGCCAAATTTTTGCCACGTCTGAGCCATCAGCTCTGGATGGAGGGTCCAGTCCCCGTGATGTGGACCGCCCCTGGACATCACATCTGCCCCTTTGTTCAGAACACTGGGGATGTACACTGCTCTGATGGAGAGCAGATTTTGGTGCGCCCAATACAGCAACTGTCTCACAATGTGTAACATTTGGGCTGAGCGCACACACCCCTGTCGGTTTATGTATGCAGCAGTAGCCCTGTTGTCTGTGTGAATCAACACATGTTGATTTCGCAGCACAGAGGCAAAGTGTTGAATCACATTCAGAACCGTGCGACATTCTAGAACATTTATATGAGCTGTTGTGTGAGGTGGCCACAGTGCCCCTACAGCTCAGGATAGGCATGCCCCCCCCCAACCTGACAGCGACGTGTCTGTGAAGACTGACACTTGTGACGTAGGTCTGATGACGGGGACTCCCTCTGACAGATCCAGGGGGTTTCCTCAGTGTCAGAGGTCTGTTCTTACGGAAGGAGGTACAGCGAGCATTCATCTCTTCTGCTTTATCTGATCCAAGTGCAGACGAGCAAACCATCTCTGGAGGCGTCGCATGTGGAGTAAGCCCAGCGGAACCACTGTGTGAGCTGACGACATCGTTCCTAACAGCTTCATGACGGAAATGGCTGT